GTCCCTTCCGACCCTAGAAACTATGAAACTATGAATTTACAATGACGAGCACAACCTGCCCCAAAAGAAGCATTATAAAGTTCCTTCTGTAATTTTATAAGATCCAACTGACATCGTACACAAGATAAAGCACAGGATGAATCCAAAGTCCTTTGGGATCAGATAATGTCTAGATCAATAAAGACTTTCTATTGTACCCTAATGTTTAGTTAAGTCCAGATGTAAGCCTGCCAACACATTTATATACACACCCTTATCTAAAGTACATAAAAGCAGGCTAACACGCATTGGTACTGTAAATAAAACCCCCACAGACATTTAGAAATGCACTTCTATAGTTACTTTATTCTTGGGTTTTGAGACTTGTCATCTTGTGCAGTTCAGGTAAGTCATTATTGTATGAAATATATTTTAAATGCCCTTCCAAACAATCCTGTAGGTTCCTTCTTAAGGCTTACTATTGAGTTTGACCGCAATGTCAACCACTCTGGTTCCCAATATTGTATTCCTGCCTTCCTATTACTAACAGAACTAACAGCAACACAGAAAGAATAAAGTCTGTCATGCCCCTTCACTGGTCAGGTGGACGAAACATCAGCAGTGTGCTTGGGGAAGTGGATTTATTTCAAGTTTTTTGTTTTTTTTTTTTTATCTGCATTGGATTTATCTGTGACCTTTTTATGCACCCTAGCAAATAGAAGATTAAAGGAAAGCAGATTGCCTGTCACTGAATTCCCTGTCAGAGGCACTATTGAAGGCCCTGGAGTTTACCCTGCAGAGAATTAGCTGTTCAACAATACTGCAATCCTTATTTTGGCTAGCTGGCACTAGGTATTGACCTATACTTTATATGGATAAACATTCAAGACATCTGCAGTTAAGAAAAGTTGCACAAATTATTTTTCATATATTATACATTTAACTCTGGCTCACTGGATGGCTGAGATCAAGACAGGCAGGGCCAGGAGGCAATTTTATTTCTGTTTCTTTAACATAGAAGGTCAGAGAGAACATTTCAAGTGTTAGCCCTGAGTATCAACTATCACTTCTGGGTGACTTGAACAGTTTAAGGGATTCCTTCTTAGGCCTATCAATTTTATTGTAATTTAAACACAGCCATTCCTTGAGTATAATGAGTCCCTACCCATTCCTATTCTGAATCATATTTGTCGTCATTTCTTATCATGTTATTTTATCTATATCTATAGATATCTATATCTATATGTCTATATATATACACACATCTATAAAGTATAATAGTATACTTCGGTGATTTACACTGACCATTTTAATACACAGGCAGATTTGTTTTAAAATAAACAGCAATTCATCAAGTACATTTAGTTAAATGAGCAAATATACAGAAATAAATGAAGAACTCCAGCAACTTGTATAAATAGAATTTTACTCTAATTCCTCTGATCAGAAAAGCACTTACATTATTAAAAGCAAGCAAGGAGGCAGTGCATACCTTTGTAAATCAATGAGCTCAGAGCGTCCTTTAGCATACATTTTGGAGAGACATTCTTTTGTTGGCACTGGAACTTTTTGAGGATCAGCACAGAACCAGAAAGCATCAGAGAAGCTGAGTTTCAAAGCTTCAGTCAGTACATGTAAATAGTCAGCAGTGTTATGGCCCATTTCTGAAAACGGCAACAACAAAATCACATTAGATGTAGCTTTAATAATATTTAAATGATCAGTGTTCTTTTGTTGCGTATAAACATTGCATCTTACCAGTGTTAACAGGAATTAATTTGGTCAATCCTTTTTATGAACCCAAAGGAAATAATCATGCTGTTACTTTAACTTTATTGCTCCTCAAATTTTAGCTGTACCTTTTCATTGTATTAAATCTTCTACAACACTTGACACAGAATGAACAAACATCATTTCTGAACTGATACCAAGCCATTCATAAAATCAGTTTCTAAAGCTATAGTTGGGCTTCTTTTGTAACTTACGGCATTATTTGCTAAACTTACAAATTTCTTTCAGAATTTCCAGAAGAATAAATCCAAGCAGTAATGTATAACATAGTAGAAAACCTTCCCAATTTAGCTCCTACTGTACTTTGTTTTACTGTACTGTTTAACTTAATGGAGTTAACTTATTATCTGTAAAAGTTGTTTAACACATTATTTTAATGGCCATTTTCTTTTCATTTCTGCTTGTACTTTGATGAAAATGCTCTTGAGACCTGAAAGACAACCTTAATCTTTCTGAAAATTTCTTTCATGTTTCCTTAAGTTACTCTCCAAAGAAAAATTTCATTGCAATAAAACTCATACCTTTAATGTTAAAATTTTCTAAAATGTTCAGGGCCATCAGAACTGTGATCCCTTGTCCATTTGGAGGCATTTCCCAAACATTCACACCCTGGAACAAGAGAAGCTATTTTTCCATTTTTAAAATATATACACTCTATGTGTTTTCTGCATTTTATAAACCACTGCGCTGTATACCACATTAACAGTGCAAGAGAAACTAGGATTTCTTCAAAGAAACAGGAAATCAGGCAACATTAAGACGATACTTTTCTCTCTCTCAACTTTGTACATTAATAAGCAACTACCTATGCTATATCCTAGACCTATCATGAGTTGTAATGCTTTCAGCTACAATTATTGCCATAAAGGTGAAATACCAGTCCTTCATGAGGGTAAACTTTGCTTGAGAATTAGAGCTGTCTGCTTTGCCAAGCCCTTTTACACACCAAAACCACATCCAGAGCCTAGTTGTGGACTCATTTTACCCAGTGCACACAAAATATAAGAGACTGCATCTTCCACTGGAAGCTGAGGCGGGGGCTTAGCATCTCTTTACGATGCTACTGTAAGTGGGCAACTTACATGTTTGGACCCAAAGGCAGCTCCAGCAAAGCATCAGAAGATAAGGGGAGCCCTTCTTCTAGAGTTCCCATAAGAAAAGGCAGGAGTACTGCCTGAAGTACAGAATTAAGGCCCAGATGCACCAAAGGACCTAGGTGCCTGAATACCAATCATGTTCTGCTTTAAGCACTTAAGCCCAAGAATGTGATCTATACGGGATTGTTTTGTATGGAACTGCTGCCACCAGAGCTGAGCTTCTCCATGCCCAGCTCATGGCTAAGCAAAATCCTAAAACCAAACTAGATGTTCCTCTGTTCAAAACCCCCAAGAGATCCAACCTAGTAGGCAGGCTCACAGCCTGCCTAAGACCAAATGAATCTAGCTTTGGACAAAACAGCAGCCCACGCAGCTGCTTCATTATTCAAAAAACAGCCTGAGGGACCCTGTTATCTCGGTGGTTAGAACAGTTGCCCAGGCTACCCGGCATTCCTGCATTCCTTCACAGGGAAGAATTCAGGCTTAATCAGGCCAGAGGGAGGGCTGAAGAAGACACCCAACCCTGTAAACCCAGTGTTCACTTAGCCTTCAGTCCCTGCTCTAGGGACTATTTAAGTATTTTGCGTTCTGTGGTTTTTACTTTGGGCAATATTCTCTGACGGCAATCAGAGGTTCCCCTGAGAACTCTCTGCAAATCTGGGCCCTGACATTCAGCTATTTCAAAATAGCATACGTAAACCGTGCTGGATAGATTCCTTTGTTTCTAAATTTAGGAACATTACTCAGAGTGGGTGTGTTACTCCGTAAGTAATGAGATTACCATCAAGTCCTGGATTAAAGGGAGCATATTCTTCAATGAAGGAAACACCACTGTGTTTTAGCATGCCTTAGTTAATAACTGGGCATGAGAGCATAGTTTTCCTACGTATGCTCCATGTATATGCAAGACATACTTTTTCACATTGTAAGAATGAAAATATCACCCTCTCACATGCTCTGAAGCTCAATTATCCACCCAAGCAAATAATTCTCAGCATCGGAAAGAACTAAGAAAACTTTAACAGGTACAAATGCTGAAGTAAAAATGCATGAGTATTTCCTATATAATCACAATTCTCATGGAGCTTAATTTACCAAAATTTCTTCCTTTGTGGGAGAAAGGGCTCAGCGGGACCCAGTGACTCTGTGTGGTGCAAGGAGGAGGAATATTGTACCATTTTACACAAAACCCTTTAAGGGGAATAGAAGGCCTATGAAACGACAATGTTGAATTTTCCTTGTACTTTCTTTTCTTGTCACAGGCTTAGAGGCTTGTCACATGGTGGGAGGCTGGGGAGAGCCACTGGCCAGGGCTGTGCTCTCAGCAGCTCTGCCACTGGCTGTCCCACTGCTGGGCTGAGCTCTATGGGGCTGGTGGAGCCACTCGATGTGCAGCCTGGTGGCAGGAGGTGGGGGAGAGCCAGGGCTGCACTCAGACTGGCTCTACCAGTCCCACAGAGCTCAGCCCAGCGGCAGGAGGCAGGGGAGAGCTGAAGCAGTGCTTTGTCTCCTGCCGCTGGGCTGAGCTCCATGGGGCTGGTGGAGCCGGTTGAAGTGCAGCCTGGTGGCGGGAGGTGGGGAGAGCCAGGGCTGTGCTCCCACCGGCTCCACCAGCCCCACAGAGCTCAATCTGCCCTCCCAGTGCTGCCAGACTCCTCCCATCAACCTGAGCACAGATCTGGGGGCCCACACCCTCGGGAGGAATCAGGCACAGCCCCACAGCCACCCTAGGGGTACGAGCCCCCAGATCTGCGCATGGGATGACAGGAGGCTGCTGCTGCCAGCAAGTGCATGTTTTGCTTGTCAGCATTTTGAGGTGCAGTTTCCCAGAAACCCCTGGACCTGCCTCCTTGGAACCTGGCAGGCTTCATGCCCTCAAAAGGGGCTACCATCCCTGCAATTTTCATCCAAATCAGACAAGAAATGACAAAGTTATAGGCATTTTCATGATTCTCCATTATAGCCTATGGGCAAAGCTTTGAAAACAGCATCAAAACAGCTAAACAGTTGCAGGGAAATGAAATGGAGCAGTGCTTCAAAATGAAACGAAACGTTGAAATGAAACACTGTTCCATCGAAATGAGAAAACAGAAGTCGAAATGAAACAGTGCTGTTTCGCACAGCCCTATTGTCTTGCTTCTTCTTTGCTTCAAGAAGTTTGAATCATATCCACATATCAGGAAAAAAGAACCAGAACAAACTTTGGTACTCAAAATCTAGATCTGAATCTACATTTTGTGATACATCTTAAAATGAGTAAGCAATTAACTAATCATCAACAAAGAAGGACTCTTTATGCTAGACTTGAATAATCATATAATTGTACATGCATAATTGCACATGAAGAGCTAACCTGACCATAAAGCTGAAATGCATGTGTACACACATAATTAGCAGTGAACACAGGTCAAGGGTAGGCAATTATTTAGGCTGGAGGGCCACTTAACAAGTTTTGGTGAGGTGTCGAGGGCCGCAAGGGTAGTCCTACCCCCTGGTCACAATCTTGGGGCAAGAAGTCCTGTACCCTAATCCCTGACCTTTGCCACGGGAAGTGTTTTCCTTTGCCCAGGAAATACTCCTTTTGGGAGGGGGCGGGCGTTGCTTGTATATTGGGGGGAGGGGTAGGTGGTTGTATGGGAGGAGTGGTTGGGGG